TGCAGGGCTTCATTCTTTGATAAAAACTCTTACAACATGTCCTCATTTATTCTATGGTTTCTTTCCCAATTTTATCCATCCTCTGAACTGCTACTCTAACCATGACACTTCAATTTCATAACTTACTAACTCCTTCCAAATTCCATGGCCTAGAATTAAAAACCTTCCATGTTCAAAGTCAAACCAAATTTTCCATCCTTTATCTCTTTATATATGCTCAATTTTTTTTCTACTCTTGCCCTCCATCTGATCTAGTAAATACTGGTTGGTAACAAAAGTTGAATCCCTTCCATGAGTTTGCTATATTCTCCCTCCCCATGCCATTTCAGTTGACAGGAAAACATCCTATAATTCTATATATTTGATCTTCACATAGGAAATCAGAATATTCATGGAAAAGCCTATCATATCTAAAAAATAGACAACTAAGAAAAACAGCAGTTTTTCTAAGCTCCAATGCCAAAAGAAGAAGGCAGTAGCAAGCCAGATGTCATAAAAGCTTCAGAGTATTTGAAAAACTTAGCATTACTATAACCTGAGAAAAGGGATGCTAAACGCCTTACCAGAATTCTTCTGTGAGATTCCTTGGCATAAGGGATTTTCGAGTCTAGTGAAGAAGATGAATATATATGGATTTAACTATAACTAAAAGTTGTGCCAACCAAGGTACAAAAATGTCCTAGAAGCATAAGGAAATTACAAAATACTCATCTGACATATTCCTTAATTAAGGACTTCAACTCCAAATGATCTGCATGGAACAGGGAAAGCCTAAACTGATAAATTCTTGGTCCCTCAACTATTTCTATTTTGAATATCTCTAAAACTTTCCTGCTTTTAATGAATTTATACTAAAGAGCAATTTGGGCTCAGCATTTTATTCAGTGAATTCTGGGAAATATGCAGATAATTATCTACAGATTGAATTAGTTATTATCAGACAGGATTTTCACAACTTAGTTGCATGCCAACCTTCTAATTACTGCTTCTGGTGCTCCACTCAGTTTATTTCTTACAACCTTATTCTTCAGCTTTCCTGAAGCAGTGTGAACTGTGCTAAGCTTCTAAATCACTCTAAGGATGTCACACACTTCTACAAACATTGCAATCAGGAGAAATTATACACTTTAAGGATGAATAATTTCAAAAATATAAAATGAAAAAATACAAATTCAAGCCATCTAATTGGCTGTACTACATACTACATATAACTCTAGAATTAGAATAGAGGAAAATCTATAATAACTATGTGACTCAAGCTATCAGGTTCTTCTGCTCAGGAATTTAGGATCAAGACTTTCAGAATTTATTCTCTGCTT